TTTCAGCTGCCGCAACCACAATAATTTGCAAATGTTTCAAAACAAAATCTTGAGAATAACACTAAATGCACGCTGGTTTGTAGGCCATAAGACATTTCACAATGATTTCATAACAGAATCGATTACTTTCTTTATTACGAAATTGGCACATAATGTCTTCAATAATTTAAATCACGTACAAGGAGTGGTCACGTACGAAATAGGAACTAATCAACTCTTACTCTCCCACCTAAGAAACAGACTCCTATTTCACATTTTCCTTCAATCATTAGAGAAGGTAAGAACATTTCTTTCATTCGCCTGTCTCTTCCATCGTATTTCTTTCTAAACCAGGTCATCGCTATCTAACAAATTTTCCTCGCAATAACCTTGGTTGAAGGTATAACCTAAGTAAATCACTATCAGGGAGGTAACAAGAAGTTACCCCCTTCATACTTTGCTAATACAAAGCTAGTCGGTCAATCAACTGAAGAGCCTCACGGCTGAACTTTGTACTATCTATCAATGTAAAATTTTAAAAAAAACACATATGTGGTTTGCGGGGTGTCAAAATCACCCAGTGTTACTGTTTGTAAACCACATACGGCTCACAGAATAATGAACGTGCTAGCAATCCGAATACCCCTCGCACGACAGCAAGAGCCCGGCAAGAGCGTAGTGACAATCAGTCGCCCAGACTTTGTCCGCTGCCTTCGTATTTTCGTAATGTGGAAATCCTCCTGTTTGGTCTAACTTCAGAATTCTACATTTCACTCGTGAACGAGTGTGTAATCAGGTAATGTGATTCAAAATAGTACATCTCAATGTACAGAAATTTAAAACAATATTGACCTCTTAAGTGACAATAAAAATATACCCTTCAAACTAATCTCTGGGCAAATGTCTGTGTGAATAACACATTTCAAGAGGTTTACAATATTTTTTACAATTTCTACTTTTAATAATGGAATATTCCAAATTTAAATAGATATTTCTAAAACTATGTTTAATAAATTTTCATGATAGAATTATAGGGGGTAAACATCTTCAAAGAAGTCACATTATTCGTGAATAGAGATCTTATATTTAATTGTTTATTGCATTTATATTGGTTAATATACATTTAAAAGTCAATTCCTAATAATAGCAGTGATTTAATTAAAATTTTAATAAAAGCATTAAGATTTTATTAATCAATTTTGATCTGGCACAGTCCTTCTCTGGTACTCAATTCAATGTGAAATTTGAGAAACCCCCAAATGTCCACTTATTTAACAAAATAGTTTAATTGCAAGCAAATAATTTACACTCAGATCTATCTTTTAAGAAAATATTTTTGTTCCTTTCTAATTATAATTTCAAGGATAGGCATCACGATAGGACAAAAGTACAGCAATACAATAAAGCAAATGTAGACGGGCTTCAAGGCTTTTTAGGGAACAATAAATCTATTTCTGTGAACAGAAAGAGGTATGAAAGAAATTTGTGGCACGTTCAAAGATATTAAATACTGTAATAATTCCCTCCCTCCAAGAGAAAATGAGGGGTTATAATTTGGTTTTGCCCTGTCTTTCTAATACATTGTGGGATGCGGGAAGGAGGTGGTATTGCGTGCATTATTAAAAAGAGAAATATTCTTCGTTTGGTTCAAATAAGCTTATTATATTAAATTAATGTTACACAGCCAATGTGCAGCTCGCCCAGCAGCAAAAACTAACAAACTACTACTACGAACATTGCATATAAGGGAGTCAACGTCCAGCCCACCATTCAGTTTCCCTTTGCCGAGGAGTGCAGGAACGGGCAATCCCTTTTGCCAGGCTCGGCGACGATGGTGGCGGTGGCCGCAGCCAGCGGCAGTGGCGGCTGTGAGCACCTGGCAGGCCGGTGGGAGCTGCTGTTGACCACTGGCAGGTCAACCACGAGTCGGGTACATCAGGCTATGTATAGGTGTTGTGGTAAGATATCTTTGGCATTTTTAAAATAATTAAAGATGTTGTCATTGCCAACAATGTTTTTTAATTCAATAGCAGCTTTCGATGGCTTAGCCATCATCATCAGCTGTCTGCTAGATGGAAGCCACAAAACGACTACCGATGTCGTTTTGTGGCTTCCATCTAGCAGACAACTGATGATGATGGCTAAGCCATCGAAAGCTGCTCTTATATTAAATACTATTGTTGGCAATGACAACATCTTTAATTACATCGGGCTATGGCCAACGGCTCCTCGTCGCACTCGACCGCAGCCGTTAGCAATGCGGAGGGCGGCCCCTAAACGGCCGCGCAACAGCACTCCGCGATGCGACGGTGACAGCAATGATGAAGCCCGCACTCCGCACCGACGGCGCAGGCCGCACTCATCCTCGAGAGACGGAGTAGCAGCTCCAACTTCACTCAGCCGAAATGCTTGCCTGAATGCCTCTACAACGCAACCTTACTCGCTCGTAATTTTCATCTCCCCCATTCACCGATGAGGTAGCCGACCATTCGTTGTATTTGACCGAATGCTGCGGGAGTGGGGCTTGACCTCACCCGTTGCAATATCGGCGCGTGCCCGATGTAATTTAGTTTTGAAAGTGCTTAAAATTCTGAAAATGTAATTTGCGTTTACTGGGTACCTTTTGGGAAACACAATGCTGCGTCATCCGGTAATGACTCGTGAATGGGCGGCATTTCCGAGAAGGCGACGACAAAAGGAAAGCTTAGAACGGGAGCGGCCGCGGGGGCGGTGGCGGTGAGGGGCGGCTCGATGTACTGTTACTTTACGAAGCTAAGTTTGTTCCGTGCAAAATTTTTAAAAATAATCGGATCCAGAATACCAAAATGTAAAAATTAGGCGAATGAAGAGGATAACGGGAAAGGCATTTAAGAACAGAAAAAGCAGTAGCGCGCGTATGAATATTTTTCGAAATCATTCAAAAGAATTGGAACGAGAAAATAAAATTGCTCAGAAGGCATATTTAAAGAATAATCTAGACGTGAAGGGAAATAACTGAACAGGAGTCTAAGAATAAGAGTCTCAGAAGGAAGGGAAATGAAAAGGATATCCCATTTTTTCGTGAAAATAGAAACTCGCTCATTTACTGACAATCGTGCAAAAACTAATGTGTTTAATAAGTACTTCAGTTTGGTTTTCAAAACTGATACGAACCATCCAGTAATTCAAAGGTCTTCGGTTGAAAACCAGTTTAATATTGAAGTAAACGTTCTACGTAATAAAGTAAAACCTATGAAAAATTGTACCTCAAGGAATCCAGACGACATTTCTAAGGGTATAATTAAACTACGAAGAGAGGCAATATTACCGTACCTAATTAGAATATTTAACGAATCCATGAACAATTCAATGATTCAAAGATTCGAAATTAGCTTTTGTTGTACCAATTTTTGAAAGTGGTTACAAAACTGTATAAGTAATTACAGTTCGGCAAGCCTTACATCAGTTATCTCCAAACTTTTGGTGAATCTAGTTGCGAGTAACATTAAGCAAGAATGGGAAATCAAAAAATGGCACTATGATGACCAACAGAGGTTTCGAAGTGGTTACTTATGCGAAAGTCAGATAGTCACGCTATTTTAGGATCTAGCAGTTAAAATTGACGAGGGCGGGAGTGTAGACGTTGTAGATATAGATTTTGCCAAAGCCTTTCAATATTGTTTCCACGATAGGCTTGCTTAAAAATTAATGAATTCAGGCATAGATTCCAGGGTGGTGGCGGTGACTAGTGAGTTTCTATAAGGCAGAAAACAGAAAGTCGGAATTGGACAAGTTTTTCCTTCCAGGCCAAGCGTCAGATCAGAAATACAGCAGGAATATTATTGGACCTCTTCTATTTCTAGAGTTCGTCAATGATCTGCTAGCGCACTTAATCTCAAATGTTCGGCTATTTGCAGACTATTTTATAAAGAAATCGTGAATTTCTGTGAGATTATCAATCTTAAACAGAAAAAATGGGGGGGGCGGGATTGGACTAGTTTCTTCAGTCTTCGAGACTTTGCAAGGCGCTGAAGCTATTGCTAGTGGGAACTGAATATTCTAGACTATGATATAGGAAATTTTCTTTGCTGGTGTATTTCGGTCACTGTTACTACGCTGTCTCTTGGACGAATGAACTACAGGTAAAGGAACATTAGTGAATGTTTTGCCTGAGGAGTTGATGTACCGTCACTTACGGTGGTATCGGAATGAATATTTCGTCGTTGGAGGACGTTCCTCTTTTTAGATAGAATTCTGCACCTGTTTTGTGATTCCATGTTTTGCTGATAAATTTGCTGATGACCAAATAATGATTACAGAAGGTGAGTCGACATCAGCTCATTTTGTGAATCAGAATTCAATATGTTGAGATATTTCGATATGCACAGACCTACGCCAGCTCATGAGGTCAGGTCTTTAGTTATTGTAACTTCAAGATTTATGACACTTTACTACCATGGACACTAAATAGTTCGAGATTACTAGTTTACAGTCACAGACCAAGACAGAACCACACTTTGCACATGAAAGATCGGACCTAGGCTTGGTTCGGACTCTCCCGCTCCAACGAAGGCGACTTCTGATAACGATATGCTCGGCTCAGCGGTCGGAACGAAAATGGCATGTGGGTGACAGACATTTACAACTTCTATGGCAAATATTTTTACGGAACTCACCAAAACTTAGCAGTTTATGGTGTGGACTCCATGTCGGTCATATAATTCAGAAACACACTGGTACGTGCAGAAAAATATTTTTTTTGTTTTTAAGAATATTATAATGAAATTATAATTATAAAGTCGTTTGGATGTGCTAGTTTCATAAGTTGGCGGTTTTGACCGGAAGTAGGCTCAGACGCCACATCGCATATTTGCGCTTTGCTGTTTTGTGATTTGGACCGTAACACGTCGCTTCCCTTCTATACTTCGATTTTTTGAGTCTCATTGGACTCTGCTTTCCCTCGCTCTGTTTCGTGCGCGACTTTCGCCGGCCAGTTTAAAAAAATCGAAGTATTGATGTGACGTGACAAGTGACGTGACGCCTTAGTGGAGAGTACGTTGCTTGGTCTCGATGTGGATATCTGCACTCTGTTGAGCAGCCGAAACTGTCCCTGAAATCAGCAAAAAATTTATTATTCTGGAGTCATACCTCTTCTTCAATAAAATAACTCTAGCAAGATTTTAGCGATGAATCTCATTTCAATAAAGTTTAATTGTAATAATTCATAAAGCACCGATAATAAATCGACGAGAAAGGATACAAAATGGCAAAACAAAACTTAAGGAAATATAATAGTATTACATGAGCTCTCAAAATCTTATTTTCATACAGTATTGCGCTTGAAAACGCGCAGTGGTAACTTATCTTGTATATTTAAGTCCTGTCTATCAATCTGAATCTTCAACTACAAAAGTAATCGGCAAATGTATTATGAAATCTCATAAATAACAGTCAATAAAGTTTCTGCAATGATGTAACACAATTTATTTAATAAATCAAGAAGTAATGCAATTACATACCACGCCTCATTATGGATATACGTACGTATATTTTTTTTCGTTAGACATTACATGTTCGCAAATGTACTTCGCCAAGACTTGCTCATGTAATATGTTGTATTTCAGAGCGGAGACGTTATCTCTTCCGACCGACGCGCAGGGAATTCGGGCAGGATGTGAAATGCTGCTAGGCGTTTCCTGCGCGCTTCGACTATAAAAAGGATCGACTGCGAAGTGCGGCATACAGAGGCCCCGGTGCGTTTGAAGACTCGTCGCACAACATCATGAGTTCTATTCACGTGAGTGTTGAACACTGGCAAAAATTAATGTTGTGTTAAATTGAGTCAATATTTCTACTAATTTCGAATATAGCTTTTAAAATTAATCAAAATCAAAGCAACTGTTTACTCGAAGAATCATTCGCCCTTTTTCTTTCTCACTATGGTAAAAAAGAATATTGTAAAGTAACAGAAAATGTCTCTTTTAGAAATTTCAATGTCAATGAACTCTATTTTTAAAACAAGTGCAATATCATTTAAATGGCCTGTAATTAATAGCGACAAGGTATGTGTATCAGTTGTTAAAATAACCAAGACAAAAGAATAAAGTTATTTAATTAACTCAATGTTAAGAAATGCTATTAATTTTGTCACTCATATTTACGAGAATGCTTGAAAATGGAGTGTTTTTCACAGTTTCTTCAGATCTGCATTGTTGCATGCTACTGAAAACTAGTCCTCAGAGAAGACCATGTTTTTGGCAATCCAGATGTTTATCGCCTACGGGTTGACCATGACTGTGGTGACAGTCAACACTGGCTATGCCCTCAGCAGCGTGACCGGAGAATTGTGGAACTATGAAAGCGGCAACAACGGGGATTATGGGAAGGACTACCACGTACGAACGTATTACGATCCATACGGTCACAGCATTCTTTTTCGATATCCGGATGTGATAAAGAAGCTCCTTGTGTTTGTTGGCATTTCTCAAGTACAAGTTCGACTACGCCGTCCATGATTCGCACACCGGCGATGTAAAGACCCAGTGGGAGGTCCGTGACGGGGACGTGGTGAAGGGCGAGTACAGCCTGCGTCAAGAGATCCAGCAATGCTGTTCACACTCCTGGTTATAGTGGTGCCGGCATTGGCTCGAATGGTGAATATGGAGCTAGTATTGAGGGTAATTTGAGTGGCGTGGCATGCCTTGGCTTTTAAATTTTTGATGATTGGAAATATTTTAATTTTACTTTAAAATTAATTGCTTTAAAATTGCTCCCTTTTGACAAATTAAGGGTAAATTAATAAGCTGAAAGTTTGTTAACATGTTAGTGATTGTTACACATACTAATTATGCATAAGAGTTAAATTGTTTTGTTATCTTTTGTAGTTTTATACTACGATGAAATAAATAGTTATCTTTACGTATTGCAAGTGTTGTTATTGACGTACACTTTCAGTGACTTTGGAATGATGAATGAATCGTGATTAATACAAAATATTACAAAAAATGATTTTACGAGAAAGTACAAAAGTACAATTTGCCAAATTCTTGAATTTTTAATAAATGTTTCCTCATGAGACAGAAAAATGACTTCTAGGATAATTCTGTAATCATACCTCAGCACACACGACTACAAAAATTGCTTGAAAGCAGTACCATAACAGATTTCAGACCACTACATAAGATAAATTTATAAGACTCTTCAGTTATTAAACTTTTAGCTCTAGGAATGAAATGCTAGATGCAAAGAACCATTAGATCGACATTTGAATGGCATTCAATAATACGTAAATCCAAAGCCGTTTATTTGTTGAACCTTGAGTGAAATATGATAGAGGGTACATAACAAAAGGAAAGAAACGTGTACAAAAGTAACTGCAAACTTTATTCAAAAGAAAGACAACGGATGAAAACTTAACATGATATAAAAATTAAAAACGAAATTGCAATAACAGTTGTATAGTATTTCTTCCATAACATTCTTTAATGCTTGCTGTTGAGCACGACCGCCTGGAAGCCGCTGTGCTTGTCGACGACGTACTTGACGGTGCGGATGTTGCCGTCGGGCTCCTGGAAGGAGTACTGGCCCTCTACCTGGTCGCCGTCGCGGATCTCGCTCTGCTGCTTGAAGTCGCCCGTGTGGTGGTCCTCCACGCCGTACTCGTACTTGTACTTGGGGTACGCCTGCATTGTACAGAAAAAGATCTTGCTTACATCTCTTAACGTTGGTATCACTTAGGCAACATTGTTAAATGTAAATTAGTGACATTATGCATTATGTTTGGTTTATGTATTATGTAACTGAATAGAAAAATACTGTTTTAGTAAATTTTTCAAAATAGAAAAAAAAAATGCTGTACGGGACATACTGTGAATATTATAAAATAAAATATTAAAATTTTTCATTTTCCAAATCTTAAGAATGGAATTTGTTTTCAAATGAAGTTATAAAATGGAATTATTCATATCGTCACATTTGTTAAAACAGTTCAGAATTCTTTAAACAGCAGATTTTATGGGAGAGAAAAAAATATTTTAACAGAAACTGTGAACAGGTAATCAGTATAAAAGCTCTAGTCTTAATGGGATTTATTATTATCATCATTATTATTATTATTATTATTATTATTATTATTATTATTATTATTACAAGATGCTACGATTATTATTAGTTATTGTATAAGGATTAAATATGAGGTTTCTAATTTGCCCTGCAGAGGAGAAGACGTTGTTGATAGACTTGCTCTAGATGCAGATTTCTCATCCTTTCACTAATGTTTGTATTACATTAGGAAAATAGAGTAAAATGGAACCAATGCAACTTTGAAGAAAACGAATGATGCACTCACAATGTAGTCCTCGAATTCCACGTGCTTGCCGTGTTGGTCAGCGACCGTCCCGCGGATGGGCTGGACGTGGCCCTCGACTGGGCCGCTGAAGACGGCGTAGGACCGCCCGCTCTGCCCGTGGTAGCCGCCGCCGAGGCCCCCGCCGATCCCTCCGAACTGCTGAGCGCTCACGGCCGCGACCGCCACCGCCACGAGGAGAACCTGCCAGGCACACGACGCTTCTGCCTCACTCCTGCATCTCTAACCAACTTTACCGCCTTACTCGTCCTTGAAAGGCTTGGTAGTACCTCCAACTAATTCTTTGTTTTTCACTTGATTACGTTTTTTTTTAATCACCCTATTCTGTCGTTCATCTATTACGTATTCATTTCATTTAATCAATCGAACTTTTACAATTTTACATTTAATAATTTAACGAGTCTTTATATTTCTTTCAGTTATTCTTCAAAATATAGTTTTAAAAGTTCTGTAAGCAAAGTACAGGACACTTTGTCATTGTTCTTCAAAACAATTTGAGATAAGATGACTCCAGGGAATTAAATAATCACCGATAGCTAAGCTATTGGGAGAACATTTATTCTACTTTAACTTGAAATTGTAATTATTGTAATTAGGAGATACTACTCGTATTATTCTGTAGCAACATACAAGGAAGTAAGTTACAAACAGTTGTAATAACAGGACTATAAAAATTAATTATTGAGATAACTTCCATCCCTTTAAAATTAAGTATGATGGTTTCTCTTTATCTCTCTTTAGAGTGAAAATTTTCGTGGTGTAGGATGAAAGCTGGCTACCAGTCGAATAATTGCATATAATTTCTAAACAATAAAAACTATCACCAATATAGTTTCAATAATGTATCTCTTTGCACGGTTACCGTATAAAAATTTGGATTAGACTACGAATATTCAGTATTATAGACCGTCAAAATCGGAGAAAGGTTAAAAATTTATTGAATTATATGACTACAGCTCATGGTTATCAATTCTTGATTTTAGATTTAATTGGAAAATACTGATGAGGGCCACGTGAGTGGATGAAGCAAGTAACAAAATATTTTTTTAAATACTTGACTTGTTTACTTATATTTAATTTTAATTTAAATAATTTGATTTTACAAACAATTTTTAAAACTTGAATCATGAATTTAAAATACTTTAAAATTTACTTTATTTTATTATGCTATATAATAAATGTAGGTTTTTTAGTTAACAAAACGCAGCTGATAGAATTCTCCTTTATGAAAAAAAAACATCCTCTTGACTCATAATTATAAATAATAGAAATTTAGACAATGAGATAAAATAATTTAAGTCAAATAATATTAAAGGTTTCAAAAGAATTCGTTGATTTTAAGCTACTGTGTTATAATTAATTTATTTTCCGATATCATTCATGACTTTTTAAATTGTTTTGATTCAATGTTCAAATATTTTTATTAAAATGTGGCCAACCTTACGGAGAAACTGACGTACATATAAAACTAAACGCTTATTCATCATTCAATACCCTTCTTTATGTGTATGGGAAGCTTCACTGTCTGGTAATGATAATCAAAATATTTCTTCTAATACAATTTACTTTGACTATGCTTAAGGATATTGAATTTTAATTTCCCTCTTTATACTTGGCTCTGAATGCCATTTCTGCAGTCCTACCACTCATCGGCAACATTCCTCACCTGATATTCATCTTCTTGTAGGAGCGTAAGGCTGCTTGCTTAAGCTGCATCTGCTGCTTGCTGTAGCTGCGACTGATCTGTACAGAGATCAGTCGGTGCCTTAAAATGTGCGGGCGGCGAGGCGAAATTCGGAAGAACAGCAGTCCCCAGATATTCGCCGGCCTTCCATTCCGAGGCGTACCACGGACCTGCTCTCGCGGAGAAACCACACTAACAGCCAGAACCCGTGGCCCCCCCATGCTTTGGCACGGCCAGCCACTCGACTTTGTGAAGCACGTCTTTCCATTCGTTAGGTGATGTTGCCCTGCGGGTATCAACGGTCTGTATCGCCTTTCCCTCCCCCAACCAGAAAAGAATTTGTTGTCATGAAATAATGACTCGAAGACGAAGAAAAAAGATAGAAAAAGACAAATTTTCAAGCAATTTTACTTTTATTTTTAGTTTAAATTAGTTTAAATTTTTAACTTTTTATTTTTGGAAATGTGCTATTAAACAAATATTTTGTGATTTAAGTTTTAAAATTCAAATATTTAATTCGAAAGAAAATTTTGCTACATTTATCTTGCAATCACAACTATGCATTAAAAAATAACTTATGAAAGAGTACAAGTATATGGCTACTATATATTGCAATCAATTTCTACAGTTGTCTGCCTCTAGTTCATTATTATTTACTTATTTAACAGTAAAGTTTCGTAACTGGGCCTAGTTACCTATGCGAGCCCCTTGCGAGCCGATTTACAGCTCATGGAGTTATTGCCTATTGGGAACTTACTAAAATGAGTTGTAGTTTTTTTTTTATCAGTCATCGTTAGGTCTTATCTTAACTTTTGCGGAAAGTAGGCGCTAGGATGGACAGTGAAAAGTAAAGTTTTTCAGCTTTTCTCAGTTACTTGATTTTCGTGCTTACCGCTAGTCTTTTAACCATTATATGATTGAAAGGGATCATTACAGCTAATGATTTAGGTATATAATTTATTTTACTTGTAAAAAATGATATTTGGTATTTAGAATATATTGCACGTGGCGTGCCTGAGAGTCCTATGCGGTCAGTTGTTGTTTTTTGTCTGGGTTTAAAATTAAAAACAATAAGTATTGTTCACTTCTTATTCTAGAATATTAAAAGCAAGATCCTTCTAAAAATATCAGTTCGAGAGAGCTGAAAGTCCAAGAAGTCAGAGAGTGTCAGAATTTAAACCCAGAGAGTTAATTTCAGACTTGGTGTAGGAAAAATATGGCGACTGCTATGGTTCACTCTAGGCGCATGTAGAATGCGGGAATAGAAAAAATTCAGCTTCCAAGTGTATACTAAGTATGTAAACTTTTACGGTCTTTGAATATATGGACTATGTGGAAAGTATAAGACAATTTCTTATGTACAAGATGTTAAACTTGTCTTTTTGTATATAAATTATTACTGAGTTCAATGGATTTTCAGTTTTTTAAATTATTTTATCCATTTCTTTGTGGGGAGCTACATTCAAAACTTCTTTTAAATACACCAGAAGTAAGTTTAAGAAAAAAATTTTATTCTGGAAAACTTTGCCAATTAATTAAATACACATTAATAATAACTAGTAGTATGCATTACAACTATTTCAATTTAATTTCAAGTTTTTAATTTTCAAGTTTTGAAAAATTTTAGTTGTTTTCAACCTCTGGTGGTTTGTATGTAGTGAAGTTTGCTGTGAGGAAACCAATGTCTTGGTTTACGGTTTGCTTGTACATAGTTATAAAAGACTTCTGTTTGACAAATCTAACCCATCTAATTTTTAATCAGTTACAGACACCATTTTGTTCATTTTTATTCCTTGTTACAAAATTTTCAAGAAATTTTAACATACTAACCATGAAGTTTAATTTCTGTGTTAAATAATAATGTGAGATATAATATATATTACTTTATTGTTCCTATTACCAAATCTGAATCAAGCTCTGTATTATCTTACCACTGCAGACGCTATAAATATTTCGAAAGTCACTCATCAAGAGAATTGTAGAAAACAACAACCACAGGAGTTGTACCGCTACCAAAATAAATAGATTTTAAACTCCTGTGATTCACTTTTTTTGTGATGTGTTATGTCGTCCACAGAAAGAACTGGCGGTTCTATCACTTTCGAAATAAATGTATAACATTTGCGCGGACCTGAAAATGGAGTTAACCCAATTTCTAAAAAAGTGTAGTTGTACCACTATTTAAATAACGTCTCCATATGTTCTCAGCCGTACTAAACCTTATTGGAAACATTTGTCATTAAAACTTTCCGAACCGAACAACTTCGAAGCTAGCTTAGTTTTTCGGTATTTAGTTTTCTAAATGTGGGCTAAGTTTTACGTTTTCCTTATTCTCGATGTTTCGAGGGTGTGAGTTTGCTCATCTTTAGGAGATCTATAAAGTTACAGTACTTATTTTTCAGTTTTTTACATGACATTGTATAATAAATACAGAAAATTCTGTGAGTTTAAATGTTTCTATTTTAGAATTAAAAGAAACAGAGCCACTTACTTGCCTATTGTAGAGTATATCATCTTCCATACAATTCCATATAGTATATTATACAATTTCATTGTTAACAATTGCACTGCAATAACAGAGACACACCCGTTTCATGTGCTCACGCCGCCTCAAGCACCGGCCACGAACCACGAAGTCAGAATAAAAAATAAAAAATAAATCGTGCAGCAATGGAAGAGATTGCGATTAATTCACTGCCCATCTATCACGAGGCAACAAATGTAGTTAAAGCGGCTCACCTTAGAAGGGGAGTACATTTGAATGCTGGGCTGCGACGAGACGGATGTTACACTAGTAATCAGTTAATATCTTGGATCATTTTACTTTAGCTTCATTATACTTTCGCGTACTACAGAGAAAGTTATGTAATGCAACGGAAAATACATTTCGATATTTCAACAAAAATACACGATTTGGGGTTCCCTGATACCAAAAAAATGTTTTTTTCAAAATGTCCATCTGTCCGTCTGTGAACACCACTCGCCCCTAAACCTTACGTATCTCTATTTTTACTAAAATGGATATTCGTCGCTCATAAAATGGATATTCGTGGATCGAATCAACGCGCTGCGATTTTGAAAACTTTCTTTAAATTTTAGGGGTACTTAGAATGACCCCAAGGACATTTTCAAAATTTTCTCAAAAATGACTTCAAAGTTTTTCTTTAAAATATTTGGAAGAATAGAGTCAAATACACTTATGAAGAACACGTTTCACTGTTCACTCAGAATTTTCGAAAATTCCAAGAAATTGAATTATTTCCAGCGTTTTCCAACAACTACAAAATTGAAGATATAGATTTTTCTCTTAAGTAATTTTTTTTTCAATTTCTTTCTTTCTTTCGTTAAGGCAAGTACATTTTTCTATACTTTTTGTAGTTTTCGTACAATATTGCGTACAATACGGGGAATATTAAAAAATAACAAATACATGTTTTTCTGGTAGACGGCTCCAATTTTCTTCTTTTAAATTTCAGTCTGGATAGTGCTAAATGTAACTAATGGGAAGACATAAACGCCATAATGCTCTATTCTTTTGTTTTTCAAAAATTACAAAAATTAATTTGTTCGAATAGCCGTTCATGTTTTTAATATTTACGGTAAAACGAGTTAAAAATTACGCACTTTCAGAAACGAGCAAACACGATTTTTTCAAAAATGGATCCAAACTTTTTCTTGAAACTTGTCGTACGGATGGAGCTAATTGCAACTCTTTAAGATGACATAAAATTCATTTTGTTGTATTCTATTGTTTATCAAAAATTACAAAAATGTATTTTTTTAATATTTGTAAAGCTTTTAATATTCACGTTCCAGCTATTTGAATACATTATTTCATTTGCTCCGGATTATGATTTCCAGATCGTACTTAGAATCGTGGAATACAGCTGCCCTCCAACCGGTTTCTAAGAATATAGGTGATACGAACTGCCCAGAAAATTATCGTTGCATAAGTCCTTTACCTGCGATGTAAAGCTCCGATACCTGCGATAAAATGAAAAATTTTAATATTTTATTTTATAATATTCCCAGTATGTCCCGTACAGTATTTTTTTCGATAAGAAAGACTAAGAAAAATGTTCTGTAAAATATTCAACAGGCGACTGAGTGAATGGGCAGAAAACTACAGTAAAATCTCAAAATTTCAGGTAGGTTTTCGGAGGTACTTTACGATATCGACCAATTACGATATCTTTGTGTTAGATTCACTAGTAAAACAGGCGCTTTCACATAAACGAGGTCATTTATACTCTAGTTTTGCGGATTTAAGAAAGGCTTTCGTCTCAATCAATGGGAAAGTTTAATGTCGAAAACTAAATGGTCTAGTAAATTTCTGAGTCAGGTGCGGCGACGGAAGTTGCAACGCGTAAATTAAAAACGACAGTACAAGTAAGACAGGGTTGTCCTCTATCATCACTATTGTTTATGTTGATTGTAAATGATTTAATGTCTTGGTACAGGAAGAGGAGACAGATGTACCAAAAATCGATGGCCTGAAAATTCCCAGATTACTATATGATCATGATTTAGTTCTATGTTCGGAAACTGTTGAGGGTTTAGCGAGAAGTTCAAACATCCTAGAAAGGTATAGTGAGCCATTGGGTTCTAAGAGTGAATATTAAAGAAATTAAAATTTTTGTCTTCAAAATTGGCTTTATTTGAAGTAAAAAAGAGCAATGGTTTGATGCGCAGGATAAGACCGGCCGAGTCAAAACTTTCACATATCTCGGTGCAAAATATTCCATGAATGAACGATAGAATAATCATATAGTAGCGGCGTAGAATAAGGAATGAATTGCTCTCAGAGACATCGTTTGAGCAGCGCGCAGGGTACTGGAATTGCCTTTAAAGATGAGCTATACAATCTTAAAACCGCTAGTTCTCCCAGCTATGAATTATGGAGCGGAAATTGGGGGAGTGGATAGGATAGATGAACTAGAAAGCAGAGAAACAGATTATTACAAATTAATTCTCGGAATCTCTAGATTTGCAGCAAATGCAGGGGTCTTAAGAGAGATCGGTGTAAGAATTT